TGCATATACTAACCGGCATAAGCAGCACGAAAGGGGTCTCTGCCAGAGTCTCGAAAATGAAGGATTAGCTTATGAGTCTTCGAACGGTTATTGAAGTTTTCAGCTGCAATTTCCATGGCAGTTTTCTGTTCTTTCCCGATACGGCCGTTAGCATTAATGATTGCTCCAATGTTGGTGACATTTCTACTATTGTTAGCTCCAACTCCATGGGAGATGACAATTAGCAAGTAGATGATGAGCACAGGAGCGAAGGGTCCAAGTTTAGGGAAAGGAAAAGACATTTTGTTCTGATCTAACCTTCCCCACATGTTTTGTTTATAAACGATTACTGTCTTGGACTGTTGCACAAGATTTTTTTTTTTTTTTTGTGCTAGGTAAAATTCCGAATGTGTGTAAGAGAAAACGCGGTATTTTCCCGGAAAATGTGCGTGTGGATTTGTATATTTGAATTGGTCTGCTAGAAAAGAAGACTATTGAGATATGGGGGAACAAAGTCCTTTAGAATGATTCAACAGAACTATTTTGTACGTTTCAAACTTGTAATTTTTTAATTTTTGTCGAAATCTCTATGACTATGAGCTGAATTATGCCACTCGAGTGTTGAGCTTTCAGGTCATTCTCCTATGCTTATTCATATTGACGAAGGTGTGTCTTCGGCCGGAGGGTTTTACTGCACAAAGACTAGGCTTTTGACAAGAGACCTCAGCCTCAATCTGTAGAGGAAGCTTCCGGCTCTGGACGAGTTATCTCCTCAAACGGGGTAAGAGTAAGAGTTTCCGGAATTGGTCTGCTAGAAAAGAAGACTACTGAGACATGGGGAAACAAGTCTTTCAGAATGAATCAACATAACTATTCACAAAAATGGCATCTTTGTTTGGATATAATTTGTCAAACATTACAACACTTGGATGTGGGAATAGTCTTTCCGTAATGGAACATTTCACTTGGATGTAGACCTCTCATGATGCATATAGCCTCTCAATTTTTTGGTATTGATTTTAAACTACTCTAACTTACGGAAGGAGATTTGAGCTAGGGTGTAGAGGGACACACACCGACCTAATTAACTAACCCATCTCACATTTTTTCTTTAAATTTCGTAGATCCTTTCCATGTAGACAAAGCTAACCTATTCATATTTATTAATTTATACATATATATCTTTCTGAGTATGACCCCATTAGCTTTTGGAAGTATTTAGAATTTAACAACGTTGCTACTAGTCTTCTGGGTGTGAAAGGAGTACATAAAACCGGCTAATATAGAAGAGATGTCAAAATAACGCAACAGTTCTGCTGCATCACAATCGTACATTTGAGGGGTGACAAGATAAAGAGAAGTAAGATAATTCAAAATTACCATTAACCACCAAATTAATAACACAATTAATTAGCAAAAATCCGTTAACATTGGAGCTGAAAAAATAAAAAATAAAAATCCTATAACTCAAACAAGAACATGCGGACACAAGAACCTAAACCCTAGAAGACAAACAAAAACTCAGTTTTTTCGACCATAAAAAAAAATAAAATAAAAAAAAAAAAAAACCTTACTTAAAATAACACTAAATTAAGTTAACCGATTGGTGCTGGTAATGATCACTGCGTGTTATATATTCATGGACGGAGACGGTCTAGCATGCATGATACATGTAATGTGGTTGTGACGGTGACGGTGACAGTGGCAGGTAAATACAATTCCAATATGCTACACGTTCACCCATCATCATCGCCGGCACGTACGGCTGCTGTTGGTTATATGGATTCCCGAACCCCATCGCTCCTGGCCTGTTGGGTGCATTGGATAGCCACCCATGGGCACCCCTATTGTTTTGGCATTAGATGTATGTTCTCCTCCCTTGTCTTATTTGCCTTCTTTTTCCTTTTTGCCACCTTGTTTTTCGTTCGGTCCCTCTACTTTCATTCCTCTAGGCCCCAGGTCGCCCACGGCCACGATATCATCATCGGACGGTTCAACTCCTCCGGCTTGGTCTTCGTCATCACTTGCATCAAATTCCCCCCCTCATTGGACGAGTTAGACTTGACAACTTTTTTGTGCTTTCCAATACTTTTCTCATTACGTTTGCTACTTTTACCAATAATGTGAGTTTCATTCTCAACAAACATTTCTCTACCTCCCGTAATTTCTTTGACCGCATAAGCTTCATGATGAGTTTGCCTGCGTCAAGCCTGCCACTCACAACCAACGTCCCTACTCATTGCTAGCTCTTTATCTATAGTTAGACTATTTTCATAGATACCATCAACTTTCTTCCTCTGCTTCTTTACTTTCCCTTCACAGCCTTTACATGCACAGTACTCAAAAGTCAGTTTGAGCTTGACGGTGTGGAACTGCTGCATGAATTCTTGATGATCAGCCATCCTTAACGAGAGAGAGAGAGAGAGAGAGAGCAAATGCGATTGATCGAGCTACAAGAACGAGAGTTTAAGAGTACGCAATTGAAAGTTGCATAAATACTCCTCAAACAAATCCTAGATAAATTATACTTTGATGTGAAATTCAGAGTCTTATTAGGCAGCCGCTAGCCACCACGAAACAGGATAACCGCAATTGAAACAAGAATCCTAATTGAAACGGACGGCATAACACCCCCAAACAGGAACTGCAAAATCCCCATATGATCAGGAAAACACGAAACAAGAAAGTCTTCTTGTGTTTTATTGGTGAATGATGATATTATGAGAAACAAAGCTAACTAGGGACTGTGCTGCCTAATCACACAAGGAAAGTGCGCAACCTTGTGGTGTTTCACGATGATGAATCGAGCAATCGGCACCCTCCAATTGCGTTGCATTTGTACCGTTTTTGCAACTCTCATCCTTTTTGCAGATATAGACCAGTTGGTCAAGGAAGACCCAATCGATCAGGAGAACATTTGTTACCCACTTGAGCATGACTTACTTTTTTTTAGTGCTTTCGTAACAATTCTTAGTGGTTTGGTTTTCTCGATCTTCTTCTTTTCGAACTGAATTAGGTTTCTCTTTTTTTTTTTCTTCTTTGTTTCAGATCAACTTTACATAAGTTTCCCAGAGTTGGAGGTTGTGCGTCTATATAAGCTTAAATGATCAAAATCTCATATTGCATTTTAACATTGATTCATCCAGGTTTACAATTACAGTATATCACCCCAGCTAAGGTTTCTCTACAACCTCGGTTATTCCAACCCTTGGCTGGGGTGCCAGGGTGGGCTCCAGCAAGCCCAAGAGAAAACAAAATCCTAGATAATCTGTAACTTTGATGGGAAATTCAGAGTCTCAGGCAGCCGCTAGCCACCACAAACATGATCCATATTTTAAGCTCCTGACTTCAAAACCCAAGCATGGTCAAGTTTGACTTCGATGTTCAAAGTCTGCAGGTCTTTTTGTATATATTTGGCCTCAAAAGAGAAGCCTGCAGGTTTTAAACAAATCATTTTTCTGTTAAAAAGCTGAAACAAATCTGGAAGGAGAGGACCTACTTGATGGGGAATAAAAATATGAAAGCTTAATAAGCATTAGGTTGTGGGCTCCTGCGCCAATAATTACAATTATTTAATCTAATAACACAGTAAGCATCATGTTATGTTTATTTTATGGTGCATGTGAACATATGATTAAGTGTGCACCAATTTAATTATTCCAAGATGTAACAGCATCTCAATTAGGCTAGCATGGTGTTTGAAAGAGTGGATCAAATACAATTGTCGCACATCGAGAGGTATATATATTAAGGTTTTTTTTTAATTGTATCGAGATCTTTTAAGATATATAAAATTTTCTGATTAGAAGTGTCAAACTCTAGAGTCCTTACCTTACCTTAATTATATGAACTTAGGCGATAAGCTAGAAGTATTATCAGTGCAATGTGGGCATTACTAAACAGTTCAATACAAAGTTTTCTCTTTCTACAATTGAAATACCAAGATAATAGTATTGAAAAAATGAAATTGTTATTGGCACTCCAAAAATCTCATTTTACACTCCAAACTTTCAATATTTGGAATGAAAAATACACTAACTAATACACTTGTGAGAAGTGTAGAATGAGATTTTTGAAGTGCCAATAACACTTCCCTTAAAAAAATTATCACACACTGATATGTATTTTAATTTTTTTACACGACAGTATGTAAAGGTTCGATACAAAGTCCTTTTATTTTTGTCTACATCACCAATTTACCATCACTAATCTTCTGGGGCCTGGACTCCCACTTAAATTTTGACGTTTCAGCCATTGGCTGCATTCCCTTCTCTTTTTCAGCCATAAATCAGATGGTCCACAGCTTTCACTGCACTCACAACAAAAAGCTTGCATTTATTCAGACAGACAAAAATGGGCAAGTGAATAAGCTATTCTTCCAAATCAAAACAAATTTGTACAAAGGAATTTATGATCTGATATATAAGGTCCCTCCTTGCACATGCTCTCTGCAATAAAAGAATTCATCAGGTTTGGGTGGTCAGTGGGTTTGGGGTCCATCTTACCCCAAGCATGCACCCAGCAAGCATCAGCTGCTGATCAGCCTCTGAATCACTGCTAAATTTGTAGTCACTGTTCCATTCCATGGCCCTGAGCATTTGCCCTTAATCTTCTCACACATTTCCCAAACCTTACATCGCCATTAGAAACTAGTTAGCTATAGTTCAGAACTTTTTTTCGTTTTTTACACCAATATATATTCTATTCTACGTAAAAGGAGTTTGAATTTAAGTGCAAAGAGACAAACGCTCCAGCTTAAAAACATGTCTACGTTGTTATAGACTTATTCAGTTACATAAGAAAATATGCATATTTATGTGGCTAAACAGAATCAATAGAGAAAACCAGGTGGTTAGCCAATAGCTAATTTGGTGTTCATACACGTGAGTGATTCTCTATAAAAGTAAGATTAAGCATCTAGACCTCATTAGATATTTTATTCTCAATTGATATATACAAATGATAGATTTTCACACTCTCGTTTTTTTTTTTTTTTCTCTTATCGTTCTGTCTCTTGATTATTCTTTAATTTATTCAGTGCGAAAACAAAGAAACAAAAATGAATGCCAGATAAAACGATGGTAAATCACTTTTCTAAATATATAAGCCAGTCCACTCGTGTAATTTTATATCTCTGCAAGCCTCAATGCGGCTGCTTCATTTTGGCTTTTTATAGATTAGACCTTCATGTGTTTCCACTTCACTTCACGGGTCCTGATTCTCTTTATATGTCCAACAAGGGCAATTTGTCCCCAACGAACTTCCACTTGCTCCACTCTTTGTCTTAAGCTACATCACAGTCCAAAGTTCCAAAAATCATGCCTGTCCTTACTTCCTCTTCTTCTGTTTCTTCTTCGTTTGCATTCACTTGTTTGACCATTTTCTTGCTGCTTATTCTGCACAATAGTACTGCAATTTCCTCATCCAAAACCGCCGCCAATGTGACTCATCAAAGCCGCCAACTCTCGGTTAATTACTATGCCAGATCATGTCCTCAACTTGAACAACTTGTCGGATCCATCACATCCCAACAGTTCAAAGCATCGCCTGTGTCCGGCCCGGCAACCATTCGCCTTTTCTTCCACGACTGCTTTGTCGAAGTAATCACAACTCCACGCAACAATAATGCACATCTGTTTGGTTTAATAATGTGCATGCATGTAAGTTTTAATGTACTTTTAATGCATATTCACCTTATTAATTTTTTTGGCACACTATTTTTCGAAGGGCTGCGACGCATCGATAATCATAAACTCAGAGCCGGGCAACAAAATGTTGGCCGAGAAGGATGCAGCTGATAACAAGGACCTGAGACAGGAAGGTTTTGAAAGCGTGATGAAAGCCAAAGCTGTGGTGGAGAGCAGATGTCCTGGTGTCGTGTCTTGTGCAGACATACTTGCAATTGCAGCCAGAGATTATGTCCACTTGGTAAGTCCTAGATCAATTTTTTGCCCTCAAATTTCTACTAAGTTGCAATGTGGAGTGTGGATCTGTGGTTGTTGTCCACTCTTACGTGTGATAAGACATAACGTAGTGATTTCAGCACTTTCAATTAAGCTTTTGGCAGTCGAAATTGAGTACTCAATAATTTTACACACCTCGTATGTAGGAGTTTCGAAATCGCTACCTTTTTAATTTTATGCACGTACATATATATTGACATTTTTCTAATTCTAATTTAACTGGGACAGGCAGGGGGTCCATACTATCAAGTTAAGAAAGGGAGGTGGGATGGAAAAATATCAATGGCTTCGAGAGTGCCCTCTAATATTCCCCAAGCAAATTTCACAGTGGATCAGCTACTCAGACTCTTCAATTCAAAAGGGCTAACACTTGAAGACTTGGTTGTTCTTTCTGGTGCACATACATTCGGCTTTGCTCATTGCCAGAACTTTGTAAGCAGGCTGTATGACTACCGGGGCTCGAAGCAGCCCGACCCAGTTATCGACCCGAGACTCCTGAGGGCCCTAAGAATGTCATGCCCACATTATGGTGGAAATGCCGACGTTGTTGCACCATTTGATGTGACTACGCCGTTTGTGTTTGATCATGCTTATTACGGGAATTTAGAGGCTAAACTGGGATTGCTAGCTTCAGACCAAGCTCTATCTTTGGACCCAAGAACCAAGCCAATTGTCCAGGCTCTGGCACAAGATAAACAAAAATTCTTTCAAGCTTTTGCGGCGGCCATGGAGAAAATGGGTTCAATAGGTGTGAAAAGAGGAAGAAAGCATGGGGAGAAAAGGAAGGATTGTAGCCTGCATATGTTATGATATATTTTTATTTGTTTTGAATTACTCAATTGAATCTTTATTTTTATTTTTTTATTTTTTTTTATTTTTAAAGAGAGACAACTAGTGGCATGCCATCGTGATCCACCTTTTTCAGAGCCGGGAAAGACTCAATTGAATCTTGGGTAACTCTGTTTTCTTGGGTTACCCTTGGTTCGGCCTTTTTCTTCTCTTTTTCGTCGTCTTGGTTTGTTGTATATTGCTAGCCTAGCTACACGTTCAACGACCTTTGTAATATTACTATGGAATGCCGCCAACATTTGATGCTTTTATCGACGGATTTTTCTTCTTATGCATTAAATTTGCATATATACATATCTCAAATAATCACAAAATAGTACTCCCCTTGTGTTTGCAGTGCATTCCGTCTGCGTTCGACTGAACTTAATTGTGTCCGCAATCATATCAGGAACTCGAATGATGTGATCGAACACCGATCATGATTTAATCGGTTGGATCGAGTGAAGAATCATTTAGCAGTGGAATGGACTGGAATTTGAAACTTGTGCGGTGTAATATTTGTATTTCTTGATTGATCATGTGAATCTTCAGGTAGAATACATGGTACATTGAAAGATGGCATTCGTCAATGTTTATACATTCTCCTGGGTTTTTCTGTTTAATACTAGCCATTTCATGAGGCAGTCCAGGACAACCCGTTCGAATACTTGAATTCTATCCTGACTAAACTATATCACTACGATTGTACAACCTAATGCAGATTAATCCTAAAACAAAAGTAGACGGGCATGACGGTTTAGGACTGATGAAAAAAACAACTCTCGCGCACGTTCCTCAGTTCTCGTTAAGCTTTCACCAATAGCTATGTGCAGCTGACCTGAAAAAAGAGGAAACGAGCAAAGCTCAGTCATTGTTTCTTCAGACGAAAAATACAGTTGTAGACTAGGATCAGAATCTTTCCCTGATCAACCGATGCAATCAAGATTCGAATTCAGCCAATACACGTAAGGATACTAGAGCTTTGATCCAGGTTACCTGTAACATACTATGACTTTGCTGATACAATCGTAGCTGCTGTAAATAGTGCTTCCTTTCCAAGTGACAAGACCTCCATGCGCCTAAACCATGTTTGGTTATAATACGAGGTTAAGAAGAAAAAGCCTACGTGCTTAAATTTACTGTGCATAACAAACATGTGCAAAGGAAATAAAGAAACAAACAAGTAAAAACTGATTCTAATTCGAGCTTACTTGTCTGCTGTCCTTCATATTTTTGAATGCTGATATTATATTCTCACATATTTCAACAAGCGAGCTGCTACTTTTTTCTTCATCGGAAGCAGATGCATCTCCAACAAGATGGTTTTCACATGGCAGCGACAAATGAGCCTGAAAAGAACTTCGACAGTCAAAGAAACTTGTGGTTGAGGCGTAAGACATGCTACTCTGATAGACTTAACATCGTAAACCTTATAGCATAAGATAAAAGCCATTTGGAGTGTTATTTATCATAGAATACAGGTGCGAGATCATGCACACATACACGTAGTATGTTTTCTTAGCCATCAAATCAGATATGGATGTATCTCGATTCATCCCAGTTGTCCAAGTGCCATGAAATTGGGAAACAAGACCTCATCTAAGGTCTTTGCACACAATTTTCAGGCATTTTGCTTGCACAATGCCCTCTAAACGTCATTGACTGCATTACCACCTCAAAATCAACAGCACACAGTAATTGACAATGTTTGGTAGTCCCACAAGAAAAGCCAAGCTATATTTATGTGCTACAAACAGTCCACAAATGAACATTTTTGCATCCATGCAAACAGGCGCACACACAATATGAATGTTATGAAAAAGATAACATCACATCCTTTGAAGAATCAACCAAAACATCGTGCTAGAATGAATAATGAGAATAATCACCTGAAATCCATGTGCTAAAAGCAACTGTACTACTTCTGTCCTAATCTTCTTTATGGTACTTTTTGCGCTGGTGATATTTGAAAGGCACTTCAACGCTCCGTTGAAAGATGCATCATCATCTGGAGGACCATTTGACCTACGAGTGCGAATAGAAGGCTACAAAATGTAGAACATGATGAAGTTAAGGGAGGACATTATCAATGAGGGAAAACTGTTCCTCAACTTCCATCATAACAATATCAAAATGCCTTCAGGAAGACATTAACAGGGAACATAAATAATAAAAGTAATGTTAGGACAATATATAGGCATTTTGAAAACTTACTTTAGCAATATATTTCCACAAGTACTTAACAACCATCTCAAGCTTCCATTTAGGTTCATCGAAAACCTGCAAATGCACCCTCATAAAATATACTGGCAGAAGAAAACAGTACTGCCTGCCTGGTACCTCTGCCACAGATTATACAGGGAAACAGAAAGATATAAACCCGCAAATGGGAGAGGGTGAGGATAGCAATTAAAGAAATATGAACCTGGAGAAATGGGTCAAGAATATCTTTATTGTACGTTAGTTCGTCCAGAATTATCTCCAACAGAGGAGTTCTGCACCAAATGCCAAAAGTATTTTTGTATCAAGACGATCAAAATAAAAGATGATACATAATAATAAGAGAGAGGAAGCAACCATCATTCTTTCAAGAAAACGAAACTCGTACCTGATACCATCAGCTCGGGTAGTAGAACCTTGGATATCTGCACTCTGCTTGGATACATCAAGCTCCATAATCTGAAAAAGTCCAAAATCAGTGCCACTGCTGAAATCATTATACAAACCTCCATTCAAACATTTCTAAGCAACTTACAATTACTAGAAACTTCTGCATGGCTATGCAGGTATTCTTTCCTATCTCGAGTAAAGCAATTGCAGTAGCAGCATCAAAATTTTCAGCGGGTTGTGCCACAGATTTCTTTGAACATATCAGATCATCGGTGAATCCAGCATGGGTTTGATACAATTTACACATAATGGTCAAGCAATCCTTCGTCAAGCTTTTCTGATTTACTTTCCTTGACACCTTCAAAAGATACTTTTGAGGGTAAGAGTTGTGGTATAAGAATCACTTAATGTATTCCACAATAAAAAATAAAATCAAAAAGGCTCCTTGGTATTCATGGCTTGAAAGAGAAAGGTATACCAGAAGCATGTTGACTAACGACTCTCTCAGAACTACCCAGTTCATGGTTTCTGCACACAATAACGAGCAACTTAAAACTTCCAGAAAGCTAGTGGTACATAACACTACAGATAATCAGATATCAACTTACCTTTATAGATACGGTTACGTGGTAGAAAGTCCCATTCCAAAACATTAATCAGGTATTGAAACAATAGCATGTTTGCTAAAGTCTGCAAAAAAATATCATATAAGACCAAAAAAGGGTGGTAATATTCGCTTATCCAGGGAAACAAGAATAGAGGTTAAGTAATTCTATAGCATTAAACTACCAGAAACATAAATCTCAGTCAAAACTCATAACCACAGGTTGAATGCTTATGTACAATCCAGTCATAAGATGCTCTCTGAATCTAACACCTTCTACCTCTTCAGTTTCCTCTTTAAAGAAAATAACGAGAGTGTATCAGTATCTAAACCATGGAATTAATGTTCAGAATATAAGAAGAATTCCTACATTTGGTGAACACAGAACTACATATCAAGTGGAGGCATATTGAACCTAATTGACTCATATTTGCGCTGGAATCACTATGCACATGGATGGACACTATGTTAGTTGTCACCGTGATCATCCTCACATTTTTGCATTCCAAGATTATCTTAGTTTCTAGAGTACATATCACATGTATGCACTGGTTTAAGAGCAAGATGAAATTGCTTTTTGCACATGTCCCCAAGTCATAAACAGTCATAAACAAACCAATTGCACATGTCCCCAAGTCATATCCATAGATAGACGCTAATTCACAATGTTGTCTTATACTTTTCTATTCTCTTAGTGCAAGTAAACTAACCTTTGTTTCTGATGCTTGGAAGTTTGCTTCATCAGTTGCATCAGCAAGGTCTTGTATCAAAAGTTGGAAACCCTACCATTGGCACGAGAACACTTCAACCAAGGTGAAATTTAAGAAATGAGCTAAGAAAATAGGATTCCATAGGATCTTAAACATAACAAAGGGAAGAAGCTTTCACACTAAACTCAAGTGTCTACGGTGCATCTATTACCCTTTGTCTATGCATCGTGACTCCTCCAAAAGAAATAGAAAAGTTAAACTAAACAAACTTATTACAATTTACTAATGAATATGAACATCGAGATAATGCAAACTCACAGAGGAGTCAACTGGTCCCCCAGAGTTACTAGTAGCTCCCCTCTCATTACTAGCATTTTCAAAGGAAGCGAATGGATACCAAGCCTAACAAGCACCCATAAATTGCATTATGATACAATATTAGTTAGTTACAACATAAAATATATGTCAACAAATGGAAAGAAAATAAAAACATAGTACCTCTTCAACCACGATTAATTCAGGCACACTACTGGATGATGTTGAATTATCTACATCAGAAGAATATACCCGAGGGAAACGCTAAAACATAAGGGAAAAGGAATTTGTAAGAAAATACTGCACCATTTGATTGTATAAAAACATAAATTGAAGATTCAAAGTAGTGTTGGAGTACCTTATCTAACTCATTCAAAAGCTGAAAACTTTCCATGGTCAATTCTAGAGACTTCCCAATCCTCAAGATGGAGAAGATTGCCTCAAACATGGCACTGTCAAACAAAATTCACACGAACAGAAGTTGGTTATTCTTATTTGGGCAAAGATATATATCGTAAACATCGATTACAATGTACAAAAGCTTCCATCTTTTTTAAAACTTATGCCTATTAACAAGGTAATTTACTCTAAAGATCGGATCTTTTTCCTTCCTTTTGAATTTAAATACACAGAGATAGAGATAGAGACTAGGTAGGTGGAGTTCCGTCTTTCGGTACAATGGAAGCAGCGCGAACGGCTTCAAGAAAAGTGATTCCTGTTCATCAATTTCCAAATAAATAAGCAACCACTGTTTTGATCCATGACAAAAATGTTGGAAGAAAAAAAAAAATAGAAATAAACCGGTAAAATTCCCACAGAACGGGGTTATAACTTTCGTTTTCCAGGCATCAAAACAACTGATAGCGGAATTGATTTTAGTTCCCCATGTTCATTTTCTTGGCAAATTTTCTCGGGAACCAAACAGAAAATTATCAACAAAAAGGGAACAACAGAATTAAGACTTACTATCCTCGTAGGCGTCCTGATTGTCTTTAGCCTCGGAAGAATCGAGGATCGCTAATATGTTCTCTTCGATTCCTCCCACGTTTCTTGTAGTGCCGGGCTTCTCCATCTTTTTCCTATGCCGGAATTTCGAAACCCTAATTCGTATAAAAAGAAAAGAAATTGGGTTTGTGTTCCCGCCAAATACCGGAGAAGGACTGACGGCGTTTGTGGGTTTGTGCTCCCGCCAAATACCCACGGACTGACGCCGTTTGTTTAGAACATGAAATTAGAAAATTGGTAACAAAAAGAATTCCGTTGCCGGGACTTGAACCCGGGTCTTTCGGGTGAGAGCCGAATATCCTGACCAACTAGACTACAACGGATACGTTGTTATTTCAGTTAAGTGATTGATTTTAAATGTAGAAATAAAAAGGGTGGAACAATACAGGGAGGAGAAGATAGAAGAAGTGAGGGAGAATGTAGAGTTGAAAGTGAAAAAAACTTAAGGGGCCTGTTTGGTATCTGATTTAAAATTTTTATCATTTCTTGAAAACAATTTTCTTTAAAACTCAAAAACTTGATTGGTTTGCGATTTAAAAATTTTAAATCTTACAACTTAAACTAGACAAAGAGATCTAAAAATAGAGGGTCGCAAGTGAGGGAGAAAGAGGAGAGAGAAGGAAATAACGTAAGAGATGATTGAAGGAAAGAGAAAGAAGAGAGAGGATCAGACGAGATAGAAAGGAAAATGAGTGAGATAAAGAACTGAGAAAATGAAGAGAGTGGATTGGATGAGAGACAAAAAAGATAAAAAAAAAGAGGAGAGAAAGAAGAAAAGATAGAGAGATAGATTTGGAGTGAGAGGGGAGAAGGAAGAAAAAAGAAATGAGTGAGTTTACGTTTAAAAACTCTAAAAACTCACCTTTTATGTTTTTAGATAATATACTATATTTTTTAGTTAGTCTTGAGTTCAGTTTTTGAAAATAATCCTACCAAACAAGTTTTTAAGGCCTAAAACTTAAAAATTGTTTTTGAGTTTAAAAAGTTTGATTCAAGTAAAGTACCAAACATGCCCTAAACATTCTTTCAATTGTTTTTGGTTTTTAGTTTTCATATACACTTTTTCTTCACCAATCTTATTATAAATTTTCCACACCTTTTTTATCTCTCATTTTCTCCTCTCACGCTATCAAAAAACCAAAAAGAAGTTATGCCTTAATTAAGTTTATGATTGATTTAAGCACGTATTAATGCATTGTATTTTGCACTAAGCCACCTTGAAATCCTCCAAGTTAGGTAGAAGTAACCCAAATCTTTATGATCGATGATAAAAATACTCTTAAAAAGTAGGTTACGTGGTTGTTCATGTGACATAAGATATTAATATATATTTTTTACGAAAAGATCAAAATGATTCACGATAAACAAATTCAGGGACCATTTCTATCGATTTTCATTGTCAAAGATTAAAGTGAGGAGTAGTTATGTCACCTAAATCATGGAGATTATAAAATGTAGTTAGCTCTATTATGCTCTATGAAGAAGGTATAATCGAACTCGAATGCAATTGTTTAGGTCTAGAAAAACCGACATCAAGTTGAAGCTTGAGGGAGTGCATGACATCCTAGCACAAGTGACAAAAATCGAGAGTTACCAAACAACTTAAGGTTTGCAAGAAAACGTTCTCCCTTTGCCATCAACAGAAGCAAAGAGAAGTGATCAAAGTCAAACCCTTTGGCTCTGAATGCATTTCTAAAACGCCTAATTCAAATGCACCCACTGACTTCGATAACTATTCCACTCCAAATCCTGTTCATGCGCCGCATATTCATAACAACATCCCTTGCTTTGATCTGCAACAATCAAACCTCCCCTTTTGTCATCAGCCCTTATTATTTTTATTATTCTAAGGTGAAGCGTCCGGCTAGTTCATGACATTGATAGCTTGTATTTATGCATCTACTTGTTAATCAAGCTGGCATTTCTTGGGCTCTAAGATATGCCAGCTTATTGGATACCGTGTGTTCACTGCAATTTCTGGGTTTCTTGGACTGGACTGGACTAGTCCAAAAAATGAATATCACAAAGGTTGAATCGGGTGTAGTTTTACAATTATTTAAACAATTCTATTTGCCATGTAATATTTCAAAAGCCTAAAGGGGTTTCAATATTTCATTTTTTTTCATGAGTACACAAGGATTTTACTTGTGAATACAGTGGTTTCAATTACAAGTCAAAGGGATCTGATCTGCAAGAATTAATTATATATGTTCAAATTGGATATTTCTGCTAATTAATCTACTAAAATGATCCAAATCCTTTTCCACCTTACTCTGCCATCTATCTATGATATTATATTGTCTCAGCTGAGTTCTAAAATATAATTCTAAATTCTGCAGACATCACTTTTCTTCAATTATTTTTAAGAGGGTACTTTAAGGAAAAAATGATTTTATATGTAGGATCGCAGTGACAATTAAAAAATGATCTTATACTCTATATCCAGCTTTCAATTCGTCGCCTTCTTTATTTTTTATGTGATCTTCATGAATTTGGGGAAGGTTTTAACAATATAAAACACTAAGTGCATAGAATCTGTATGGATAAAGCCGCGTAAATGATTAGAACACCACACAAGTCGACGTGGGAGACTTAAAATATGAATCCCACATCTTATTTTATTAATAAGCACTTAAAATCCTGAAATCCTCCATGAAGTTAGCAGCTGGATTGAGCCACAAGTAATCTCAACTATTCACGCGTTTCTCTTTATACCTTTATATTTCCCCATTCTCTCAATCTCCTCTCTCCCTCTCTCCTCATATCAACTTAATATTTTGTGTGAATATGACTGTACATAGTGATATTCCTGCAGAAAAGCCAGCATCTGAAGCTATACAACTAGAGGATGTGTGGGCGAGCTTTATCGGTGTGAATGGAGTGAAAAGGGAAGCGAAAAGCGCAACAGAGTCTCAATCCTGGGAAGATATGCCTCCTCTTGATGGGAGAGAAGGGTCAATGGAAGTTCTACAAAGGCTACCAAGTCTAGGTAGGTGGATATCAATGGGAACTGAGGCCTGGGAGAAACTTCTGGACAGTGGTGTTGCTCCTGCACAAAATACGGAGCAGTCTTGCAATGACAGGTTAGAAGGCAATGGAGCTGCAAATTCGGAATGCGAAGCAAAGGTTGAGAGAGCAAAGAAAGTGGAATTTATGAAGCACTACCGCGGAGTTAGGAGGAGGCCGTGGGGCAAGTATGCAGCCGAGATTAGGGACTCAACAAGAAAAGGAGCTAGGGTTTGGCTTGGGACTTTTGAGACTGCTGAGGATGCCGCTTTGGCTTACGACAAGGCAGCTCTGAGAATTAGAGGCTCAAAAGCACATCTTAACTTCCCCCTTGACACAGTTGCAAGGGCTATGGGATTGGATTGCTTCAGCATTTGTTCATCCACAAATATCGGTTCAAATACTTGGAAGAGAGGGTTGAGAGATTGGGAAGAAAATGTTGAGGAAAGAAAACCTGCAGTGAAGAGGAAGGCGAGCATGCAAAAGATGTTGGGTGATCATGATGAATTTGATGTATTTGAGTTCCAAGACCTGGGAAGTGACTGCTTGGACAGTTTGCTGTCTTCTTTTTGACAAAACTCAAAATAAGAAAGGAAACTATGCTTCTGATGTATATTTATCTTCTACATGAGTGAGTCCGTAAAACATTCTTTGCTGCCCAAATAGAAATTTAGCAGTCCGGAATTATTTGTAGTTGTAGTCAAGAACATGCTGTGTAAGTTTCTTTGAAACTAGCCTTAGAAGAAGAGATAGCAGAACACGATATACATACACAATTTCTTATGTAATATGCAACATCATCAATCAACAATTATAGTGTGCTTTGTTAAGATTTCAGAGAAGCGTTTAGTGGCTCCCCAACTTAATTAACCCCATCGACATATCAGCAAGTGTTAGGATTTTATACAAAACAGAAGGCTTCAATGTTATAACCGCTCATTAATCGTTGTAATTTATGTTGTCAGGTTTCCGAATAATTTTATGTTCTTTGACATGCTTAATTTTAGTTTACTATTCTCAATCTGAGAGATTGGTTACCATCAAAAGGACCTCTCTAAGCTGGCTTCAAATGGAAAGGGAGATAAAAAGAAAAGGCTGGAAAAGGATATAGACCCACTGCATAACCGAACTTAAATCTTCTTATTACTTACTAATCTCTCTTCCGGATTCGAAGTCAAGTCATTCTATATACCTGATCAGCTTATCCAAATGATTTCTTTTTCTTATCAATATTGTGAAGCTCAAAGAAAGAAAACCAAAAATTAAGAATGTGTCTGTACAAAATAAGCTCCAACTCATTCAATCATATTACAAAACCAATAAAACTCACTTATGGCAGACTTGCAGTACATATGTGTTGGCATAGCAAAAGAGAATAACTAGCCAATGAAAGAAAAATTACACACTTTTCTAATGCTTAGTAACCAGAAGTTTATAACTAAAAAGAACATTTCTAGATGATCTGACCCTGCATATTTGGTACCTCCACAGCACTTAATTCAGTCTCAGATTCCGATCTTGGTGTCCCAACCGAGAGCATACTACAACTTCCACTTGAGTCTGAAGTAGTAGTACTGTTTTTACTATTTAAGCTGCAAGTTACACCAAAACTTGGCCCGACTTTATGAACTGATGATGTTGGTGAAGAAGATGCAGCCCCAATTTCAGCTGGGAAATTAAGCATGGCCTTACTACCACGCATTCGAAAAGCTGCTCGGTCATATGCCAAGGCAGCTTCTTCAGCCGTGTTAAATGTTCCTAGCCACATACGCGCGCCTTGTCGTGTGGAGTCACGGATTTCAGCTGCGTACTTGCCCCACGGACGCCTCCTCACGCCTCTATAGTGCTTTTTTCCGATGTTCTTTGTGGGTTCGAGGCAATTTGGTTGACGATTGATTGGGTATCTTTGCGGCAACAATGAGGGGATGAGAGACATGGGTTCATTTAGGACTTGGTATATGACGATGTCTTGTGAATCATTCTCATTCAATGGGAGTTCATTTTGCTGTGAGAAGTGTAAAGCCATAGCTTCCTAGCTAGTTCTTCCTCCTAAGCTTTATGAATTGGCCAAAAAAAAAGGATAGTGAAGATTGTGGTATGTAGCTCAAGACTTGTATTTAACTTTGGATTAAAAGGGAGGCAAACGTGGGGTCAGAATTTTCTTTGGCACGAGAAGGATGATTATATCTAATTGTCGGGATGATGATTATTTAAATATATGTAATTATTGTAGTCAAATTAGCTAATTTAACAATTCAGTTGCAACATATACTTTGGCTTGTTGATATGGGTAGGTTGGTAAAGTCAACAAAGGTGATTGCATCCGCAAAAGAGCGCATGAAGACGTTTCTTGCTGGAATTTGGACGAGCAATTTGATTTTGGGCTCATATACATCACAACTCCAACTTTTCTTGGGTATATGACGTCGTGGCGTTCGTAATATGAACTTTCTTAGGTTGTGGGTCACGTTATTAACCCAATATGGTCCCTACCTTGACTTTTCAACAATTTTTTAAGACTATGATTTAAGAATGGGTAATGATAGAGAAGATAAATGTGTAAACTAAATTTTGTAAATTAAATAATGTGAAAGATGATGATTAAATTATTAAGTGTTAACTAACATACTTATTTTTTTATTAGTGGCACATCGTTTAATTTGTAAATTTAATTTAACTAGCATTACTCTTTAAGAATTATCAAAGACTTCAAAATAAAAAAGCAACCGCAAAAAGTCCTAAAATTTTTGTGAATATTAAGGTGGAAGGTCCTAATTAAAGATTTACAATTAACTCACGTGTGTTGAAATTTAATAATTCTGGGAAGACCATGTTTTGTGGTAGGGGAATAATTTATTCTATCACTTACGTTTATTAACAACAGTTCTAATGCATGAAGATTGTAGCTTGATTGGTTAAAGGTATGTTTACTTACAATGAATGTATTTGTAAGATCTTTTATGATGGTTGGAAAAAATTAAGTGTGATGTCAATAGTATAGAAATCAAATTTTTACAATGTACCGAAAATTTTGGTTGCAATGAGAGTGATTTTTTGAAAGATCTTATATTAAATTCTCACCAAAGATGAATTATAACCAAACGATTAAGAAAAAATATAGCCTAGACTATACGTTAAAAATATAGAGCTTATTTAGATATGCTTTTAAAATGACTGAAAACGCTTTTAGTGAAAATATTTTTGAAAATAATTCTTAATAAAAATGCTAGTAAATCTTAGAAAAACATTTAAAGTGCTTCCTGGGAAGAAACACATAATTGGTGCTTCTTGTAGAAAGCACTTAAAGTACTTTTTGAATCCAAAAATATTTTCTCTAAAACGCTTTCAGTCATTTTAAAAGTACATCCAAACGAGTACATATATATTTGAAGAGCTTAAACGTAGCCTAAGCTATGCCTAACTTTCTATGATTGGAGTTGGCCAAACTACGGTTTTGCACCATTACGGGTGCGTTTGTTGCACCGAACTGTCTCGGACTGGACTAGCTTCAGGGACTAAGCTGGACTGGCTTGGACTAGACTAAGCTGGACTAGCTTAGTGAAGCGTTTGGTGTAATGTCGGATTAAGTCACAGACTATATTTTTTTTGCCATTTTTAATTCACTTTTGTCTTAAAAATTAATAATTAAAGGGTAGTGAGGTCTTGAAATGAATGGACCCAAGCAAATTTTATTTCCCCTTCCTTCCTTTACCCTTCCTCGTTTCTCTTCTCCATCATTTTCTCTCTATCAAATTATGCATCAATCTTGTTTAATTAAGAGAATCTGTTGGTTAACCATTTGCCAAGCCTTCAGAGATTCCAAAAAGAAAGGCAAGCCTTCCATTAACCAATTAAACCTGCAAATCGCAGAAAAAAAAAAAAAAAAAAAAAAAAAAAAAAACCCATAAACCAGAAGAAAAAGAACTCAAAAACCCATAACAAAAATCGATTTACTGAGATTGCGAAGCAGTCGTGGTGGAGATGACGCAATCGATGAGGAGGCAAGCTAAAGGCAAAGCCAAAATCAGTAGATGTGTTTTTAAAATGACTGAAAGCGCTTTTAGTGAAAATATTTTTGAAAATAATTCTTAATAAAAATACTAGTAAATCCTGGAAAAACGCTTAAAGTGTTTCTGGGAAGAAACACATAATTGGTGCTTCTCGTAGAAAGCACTTAAAATACTTTTGAAATCCAAAAATATTTTCTCTAAAAGCACTTTCAGTCATTTTAAAAGTACATCCAAACGAGCACATATATATTTAAAGAGCTTAAACGTAGCCTAAGCTATGCCTAACTTTCTATGATTGGAGTTGGCCAAACTATGGTTTTGCACCATTAATAGTTTTTGCACATTTGGTGACTCCATGCAAGATTGAGCAACATAAAGGTTTTATAGCCAAAATGGTCTATGAGATTGTTATAACTCCTCACTTTGGTTCTTAAGATTTAAAATTGATACAAGTGGTCCCTGAGATTGTCCACTATCAATCACTTTTGTCATTTTGTAAAAAAATCTTCATTAAATTGAAGAAACCACCCAGTTCAAGTGGAGGGGTTAAATTGATAAAAATACCCTTAATTTAACAGAAATTTTTCACTAGAATGACAAAATGATTGATGAACAATTTTAAAGACCACTTATATTGATTTTAAATTTCAATTTAAAAACCATTTTAACTAAAATGCCGTGATACAAATATCACATGGAAGAAGATTGAAGAAGATAGACTTCAATAATGGGAACAAGCCCCATACCCCGGCGCTCTAATGAACAATAATTCTCCACCTTACTATATTTAGAATAGTGATCGATCCCTCAGGAATTACCAAAGGGAGAGGATCCAAGAAGGCACAGGGCAAGTGAATAAGTTCATAACACGAACAAAAAAGTTTCAAACACAATTTTATATAGCTTCATTGGATAGTTCTATTTAATTCGATTTGTGCAGCAATCAATCGAATAATTACACTTCATAAGCCATGGAATATCTCTTGTTAACATGGGATCAAGTCGAAAAAGTAAACTGATTGTGTTAATGAAAGCTTAATAAGAAAAGAGAAAAGTTCTGTAGTAGAACTACTATTCCAAATTAAGAGTTTCTGAGTTCGAATTTATCTTCGTTCATTAATTAAAAACAAAATAACAAGACAATAAAATAGTTTATGACGGAGGCATTACCTTAACTAATTTTCAAGAAAAAGAATTTGTTGTTGATCTGCCCACTATATATACCCTCAAAAGTAATGGGGACGAACATGGGACTTGGGAGTTTGATCAACTTTGACCCCTAAAAAAACCTATAGATGCTAGAAGTAAAGGAGTAGTTTGCATTCCTTCCACTTTGGATCTTTCATGGCCTTTCACTTTTCCCTTGATTGAACTGCTCTCCATCTACAATCATATAAAAGATAGAGCAACACATCAGGAGCTGACAAACAACCAAATTAAATAACGTCTTATTTTTTAAAACAATAAAATATTGTGTTAAAATATCAATATTGGACCAAAACAAAAAGTCAGTACTAAGTGTTTTTCAAAATATAATTTCTAAATAGGAATATGTTAATGAGGGTGAATCCACTTAGGATTCTCTTTCCTCCTACAGTTAGGCTTGATTTACTTGTCCTAATTGTATTTGTATACTTAAAATCCAGTTTACATAATTCTACAATAAGATTGCCTTATAATAATATATTTATGTCTGCCTCACTTCTTTCAACAACTACAAAATGTTCATCCTCAATCCATCACATATTAAGATTGACAATTTGACATGATAAACAATGAATACGAAAAACACAATGTAGAAATACAATGATATGATACATGTTCACATCAAACAGACACCAAGTAGTTCTGTTAATTACTTGCTTGACCATGATACAACTTAATTTGCTATGTACACATGCTCATAATTATCATACAAAATCAATCTTTGAACAAGAAAATGGAAAGAGAATGCAATTATTGTATGATATGTACCTTGAACGTTGTCGTAATTGTGGCAATTGTTCAACGATCTGTACTGTTGAAAGTTAGGGTGATTTTGCCCTTGGTTCATCAGCTGTCTCTGCGCGTGCACAGGATGATGCGGTTGTTGGTGGTGATAAGGTGAATAAAGGCTTTGAGTAATAGCTGATCTCGTGTGGCCCAGTAAAGAAAAATCACCATAATGTGGGCCAATTTGAGCTGCCCCGGCTGAGCCTAATGCTCTTTGCTGTCCTTGCCCAACAGAAGGGTCAAAAATCAGTTGACCTCTTCCTAGCCCATACATATGAGGTCCTATATTTGGGCGTCCTTCAAATTGCATAGGCCTTTGGGACTGAAACCTTTGGGTGGACATCAAGCCGACCATCCCAAACTGTCCTGCAGAAGAATCGAGGCCAACGACTCCTTGTTGGTCTCGTGCTTGTTGCTTGGCCAAAGCAGCTCCATGATGGAAGCCTCTCCCTTGCCCTAATACTTGTTGCTCCCGTGAAATTTCAGTGGCCTCTTGCCCTTGTAATAATTTAGTATAAGTGCCATTAGAAGACCCATCAATTGCTAAACTTTGATTAGCATAACCATAATTCAGAGCCTTTTGTTCTTCATTCAATGCGTTCCTAAGCAGTTCATTCTCTATCTCCAATTTTCTGTACATCCCTAGGGGTCCGTTCACAGGGTCTTGCTTCCACATATAGGCTTCCCACATGAAAGATTGTACGGCTGTGCCCCTATGATTTTGGTCATCTAGTTGCTTAAGCAACTTTGTCATGTTGCTAACGCCAAAAATTTTGTGCACTGCTTTAAAATCTTCATCCTTGTTTGTGAAGTAAGGAGCCATAACGCAATCGTCTTCGCACCTCTTTCTTTGGTGCCGGCACGCCGCACATGCATGGCGGCCTGCAATTAGTTCCCCTGAAGAACTACTGCTACCCATTGACATACTTGTATGATAAACCTGCACAGATATTGGCTTCAAGTATGTAAAATTTTTGCTATATATATGTTACAGAAGAAAAAGAAAAGAAAAAAGAAGCACGTACGAGAGAGAAAGACCAGCAGGGTGAAAGCCGTATATAGGGGAGGAAGAAGACAGAGAAGAGGGTGTTGTAGTGAAAGAATGAATCAAGAAGGCAGTGGTGAAATTAGGTTAGGATTTTTTTATATGTAGACTTGAAGCCAAAAACTATATGTACCAAAAAATCTACCCCTATTGTTTTATTTCGAAAAAAATCTACCGCTATTATAATTTATTTATTTACATCCTATTACGTATCTATCATAAGATTTTCTCGAATCTCACCTACGCACATTCCTTATCAAGTTAACCATACCCATTTATGTTGTTGGCCAAAAAAAATTTCGATCAACGGGTGATATTCATCCTTGCAATTTAATGAGATTTCCCATCAGATAAAGAGCGGAACCAATCAATCGCCTATTCTTTAGTATTAGAGTAAGTGTTCAGTGTAACATATGATTTTATCTGTATGGATGGTTATAATCTACAGTCATAATGTTATGATATTGTTGACTCTAAAAATTACAGAACCTACGTGGCGCGCAGGCCGAATAACTAATGAGCTAACTACTGTCCTTCGGTTGAATGCAGGGCGTGCCAACTCGTCGGCCGAGCTCGGCCGAGGAGTACAATTTGATGCGGTCGCGTTGAGCGCGCTGTTGACTTCTGTATCTTGCGATTGCGACCGAGGAAGGAACGCTCTCGGTCTCTGGATTCTATAGCCTGAAGACAAGGCTACTAATTCTGCGGAGTTCACAACTCGTCGAAGCCTGATTCGGCCACTGTGATTATATTCGTAAGAGTATAAGCACGCCGAATTGAGACCAAACTATACGGGCACAGGTACTCGAATGTGATGTATGTCTTGATGGTAAACGTAGTTCGGCCGTCGGAATGCCGAACCCTGAAACTTACTTGTGAGTATCCAATCATAAACTCACTCGGCCTCCAATGCGCCGAGCAAGGCAACTCGTAACACCCAACTATGCCGAAACGGCTTAGTAAGATGACCTCTACCAACAAAGGTTCGAAAACCTTCCTCGGCCGAGACTTAGATAGATAATCGATCGACCTCGACGCAGTGCTGTTTATCCAAACTGAAGGTGTGTCTCGGTCGGCTGATTCTGCGGCAGCAGTGCTGTTTATCCAAACTGAAGGTGCTCACCGGTTGCTTCCACAGTGCTGTTTATCCAAACTGAAGGTGTGTCGGCGGGAAAAGAAAAGGAAAAATCTCAAGGTGTTTGAGAGAATTTGCGCAGGGCAATTGTATGCTGAATTCAAGGGGGCTTTTCCATTGCGTAATTTCTTGTATTTATAGCACCTCGCTCCTTGAATCCCATTCTGATTTGGATTGGGAGTCCTTATCCCATTTCACCTTTAACTCGAACAACCCTAGTCCTACTGGGATTCTGAATTCTCCTCCTTTTGAGGCTTTATCCCTTGCTGGTCGAGAATCCTGGTTGCACCAGGATTTCCTCGACCTTTCCTCACTTATCTGGACTACTTTTAAGATAGGATCTGGCCGACCCTGCCAGCTGGTCCGGGTTTCATTATTTGGCCCATAGCATGTCATTACCTTGGGCCGAGCACGTCTTGCTGCTCGGCCCAATCATAATATTTTGGGCCCAAACATTGCCCCCTCGCTTCTGAGGTCGCCGACTGTCACTCTTGGTCGGTTCTCGGCCTTGAAGAAGCGAAAACATTTATTGCTTTTTGGACCTTACTTCATTAATGACCATTATTCCTGCATATTTATGAGACATGATTGCGCCTCCCTCGTTGCCCCCAACGCGTGGCCACGCGTCAATTTTACGCCGTTCTTAAAAGCTTCAATCATGGGCCTCGAAACCCTGCACAAATTGAATCGCCCTATCTTTATTAATACATTGAACCTGTCGCCGCACGCAATCGTGCGTCCTGGATTTTCGACTCCTCGACTCCATTTTCGCAGGTTCCCAAAAAAAATCCGAAATGATTGCAGACTTTCCCGGTTACATTTCCCCCCAATTTGAACCCACGCCTTTTGAATTCCAGTGTCTTTTGAAATTCAGACGTTTGATCTTCCATCTGAAAAACCTATAAATACCCACACTTCACCTAATCATATCTTACGCTTTCAGAAATTCCCAAACTCGCACATTTTAATCATTCTTGCTTGTTCAGACCAAACCCTCTAGCTTTCCTTTCTGCAATTTTCCAGTTCTTCCAAATTACACTAATGGCTTCCTTCATCGCAAAACTTTCCGAGGAGATCAACAAGTGCAAGGATTTCATCGATCGGAGCGCTATCAAGACGCTGCGATTTGAAGAGGACATGGCCACCACCCACCAGATTCTGGGTCCCCTCTTCAGAGACGCAGTGCCGTCGCCTATCACTGACCTGCTCAAGGAGCAATGCCTAACACCCCTGCTGCAGGGGTTCGATTGGTCGAAGTGGACCCTGGCGCGGCCTCAAGGAGCTTGGCCCTCGACCACTACTGCTTGGGCCGCCTGGGTGGACCGAATGAGGTCATTCTTTGGCGAGGAGTGGAAAGCCCTTGGTATCTATGATGCCATCCTGCTCTCGACCATGGAGATTACCATGGACAAGGAGCTGCTTATGGCGGCCTTGACTCTTTGGTGTTCGGCCACCAACACTATGATCCTTCCATTCGGCCCCCTCGGCCCAACGGTCCTCGATATTTCGGCAATCCTTGGGACTTCTCCATCCGGCCTCCCAATCGATGCCGCTCTTTCAGGATGCCCCTCCCTCCTCGACCTGAAGGCGCTTTTCGACGAGCGGGCCGTCGAAACGCTCAGTCGGGGTGGCCGGGAGCCTTCGAGGGAAGAAGTTCACAAGCTCCACAAAAACTTCTTTAATTATAATACTCTCATCCTCCATTTCGCCAGCCGGGGCGAGGAGAGTCTCAGGAAGGGGGAACATGAAGCCTTCCTCTTCTACTGGTACAACAAGTTTATTTGTTGTACCCGATCGAACAAATGTTTGGTCGAGAATATGCCAGTGGCCCAGGCTCTGGCTAGTGGTCACCCTCTGGCGCTCAGCCCGGCTATTCTTGCCAACCTTTTTCGTTGCTTGGCCGAGACGACCATCAACAAGATTGATCCGCACCAGAATGGGCCCCTCTGGGTCTTTCAACTCTGGCTGCAGGTCTACTTCTCCACTCTTCGGCCTGAAGTCCCTGCCTTCCAGCGCTCGGCCGCCCTTGGCCCCCAACTGGCCTCTCGACCGGCCCCTCCTCACCGGGCCGACGAGGTTCTCAGGCATTTTTTTGGCCTCGACGTCCTTTCGGATGACGAGTTCTTGGTGTGCCGGCACCAGGAATACCCTGCCTCGATCAGGCTCCCGACGGCAGCCTGGGCCGAGATCGAGGACGCGGGCCTCCGTCAGTCTTGGGGGTCAATCGTACTGGCTCGCGACCTTCCCCTTGGTTGCGATGCCCGCCGAGCCAGCTGGGAGGTCTACCATCCTCACTTTGTCGCCCGGCAACTCGGCTACCTCCAAGGTTGCCCCGTTCCCCTGCTCGCCTCCCGTTCCCTCTTGAGCCGGGGGCGTCTTTCTGGTTCTTCCGAGAGGGAATGCCGGTCGATGGAGCAAGAATTCCAGGATCGGTGCAAGAAGTTCCGTCTTCGCCCAACCGTTCCGGAATCCTTGGGCACCGATACCTTTGGGGATTGGTGGGATGCGTACATCTGCGACTTCTTCGGCGCCTCAATCGAAGACGTGGTGAGCAAAGTCTTTGGCGACCGGCCGGGACTAGCACCCTCGACCCAACCTAAGGAGTCGGCTCAAGGTATATTACTGACAAACTACTTCGCCATTTCAAAACTTGCCCTTGTTTAACAATTACGTTGCTATTTCAGGGGGTCGCGGGTCGAAGAAGGCTGAAGTGGTTGCCGCGGCGGCGAGAGTGAAGAAGGTGGTACCCAAGAAAACCGTCGCCACTGAGCGGACAGCCCCCTCCAAACGCCCCCACCGAGAGGCCGAGCCGGAGGTTGATGTCCTTCGCCCTTCTAAACGCGTCAAGAAATTGGCGAAGAAGGGCGACCGGGAGATCCATGTCGTCCCCAGTGATGCTACTGGGACGCCTGCTTCTGACGGCTCTCCTGTGCCGGCTACCCCGGCATCTCCACTCCCGATCCCTCCAGCCGTTCCCCTTCCTGGCGCCACGGCCGATCCAATCGTCGCACCAGCTCCAGCTTCGGAGCCGGTCGTGGCGCCTGCAATGGGCAAACCGGCTGCGCCCGTCGATGCACCCTCGACTCCCACGGTCGTTTTGGAGGTAAAATTCTACTTCCACTTGTTTCCTTAGGTTTCGGGTCGTAATGCTAAATGTTCTCTTTATGTTCAGGATAACGAGAGCGAGAGTAACGAAGTTCCGCTGGAACGCCACCGTCGACCAGTTCACTCTCCTCCCGTCCATCCTTCTCCGGTTGTCGAGGCGGCCGCTAGACCACGTCCTTCCGCGGCAGATCGTGGTAAGAGGCCCATGGCCGATCCTGAGGCCACGGCCGAAACGCCGATCCATCCGCAGGACGAAGATCCTCCCATTCCTCCCCAGGAAGTCTCTTCGGCCTTTGTAAGTCTCGCTTCTTTTGTATTGATTTTTTCGTGACACATGTTTTATTTGAAAAAGACCATTAAATGTCAGGTGCCCGAACATTCATTTCACCGGCAATTTTATGCGCCGAGGGGTGTTGTCTATATTTCCTGGCCGCCGTCGTGGCCATCAAATGTAGATAACCTCCATCGGCCGTGTGAATTGCGTAGCGGTCTAAGGCACTGGGCTCGGCCATTAAGTTCCCTGGGTTCGAGCAATGACCCAGAGGGCATGGCCGAAGTCTCCTCTCGGCAGGTCTAAAACAATCCCCTTTTTCCTTTATGCACCATATGACGACGTTTTACTTTTCTTCACAAA